ATCTGCGTAAAAGATCTGATAAGCTGGGAAGAAAATTGGAAAGTGAACTTACTTCTCTTTCGGAAGTGCAGATGAAGTTTGAGGGCAGCCTATCTACCGAAGATGCAAATCCTGCCTTGACATCCAAGAATCCGTTATCAATTAGGCGTGCTAAAGTTGAGGCCCTAAAAAGATTAGTGGATGACGAGAAGGCCAAATATGGTAAATCCGTTCAAAAAACACAAACCATGATTCTGGACAACCTGCGTACAAGCCTTCCCAACGTGTTTCAAGNTGTTTCAAGCTTTAATGGTGTATTCTAATGCTTATGCTCAGAGCTTTGAGGTCATTCTTAGTAATGCCTCAATAGTGGGACATGACTTTACGCGACCTGCAACTTTTATGAGCTCGTAGTTTCTTTGTGCGATAATGTCCATGACTCTAGGCTTTTTTGCTAAAATGAAAACTTTAGTTCATTAATACTTGACTTCTATATATTTAGTATTACAGACATGGACACTGCAAAGGATTTTCCGCTTTTTGCCCACTGGTTGGTAGAGATGAACAGGCTTTGGAGTGGATTCTCAAATATCTCAGCATGAGACTAATGGAGGGTATTGCACTGTTTGATGGTTTTCGTCCTCACACTTCCGCCATCTTGCTCTGTTTTGGTTGGTGATTTCTCTATGAAAAATACGAATAAGAGTTGAGTTACTGCAAATGGAGGTTGCTTGTATCCCATGTGTCGAAACTCACAAAATAAACATATCTATATAAGTTACTTTTCTTAATTATTTTTGAAATATAAAAAGGCAAGTCAAGATGTAGCATATGCTGCAGGGTGTGCCATACATGCGTGTCCCTGCTCTTAACATTTTCCTACCTATGAAATCCTTGGTTATGGGAATACGGATTTAGGACTAGAATATCATGATTCTTGGTTGGAATGGCGTATCCTGAATGTCTTCGACGAACTCGATTAGATATTAGTTCAGCCCAGATTTCCACAACAGCTGATGTACTGCTGCTACATTTCAACATGATCCCAATTTTCGGATGAATCTTCATAACCATTTTCTAGCTGGTAGAACCCATTCCGGGCCAATCTGGTCATCTCAGCAAGACCTGAAAGGAAACCATCAATGTAGATCAACTAAATTTAAAACATGCTTCTGTTTATACTATAAGGTGTCAAAGACAATGGCGAAGCCACACTATTTTGGGTCAAAAATTAAAAGTAGCAAACCCCTTTTGTCAAAAAAAAAAAAAATCACATTAATGAAAATAGGTCAATACTTTACTACAATTGTCGTCTATGCGTATTCATACTGTGTGTGAGTTTTAGAAAGGTAAAAAACCAGATAGCTGTGCACGAAGGAGAGTATGAGAGAATAAAATTGATATATTCTAAATAATCGAATGAATTACAATGTACAGTAATGGGCTAAATATACACACATGTGCCTAACAAACTAACAGAATACTGTATAAAAAGGAAGCTTCTAGAATAAACATACAAAGAATTCAAAAGGGGAAAACAATATATACAAATTAACCCTTTTCATTATGTAATAGCCCCCCACAAGATGGAGAATAGAGATTGACTATTCCCATCTTGGATAAGTGTTGCCGTAGAAGAAAGGAGGGTAAGGCTTTGGTAAAAATATCGGCCAGCTGGCTGTTTGATGCAATGTGGGCAGTGGTGATGCTTCCCTCTTGAATCTTGTCTCTGATTAAGTGGCAATCCAATTCAATATGCTTTGTTCTTTCGTGGAAAACATGATTGGTAGCTATATGGAGGGCTGCTTGGTTGTCACAGTAAAGTAATGCAGCTTGTGGATGAGGAACTTGAAGATCAATGGGTAGATAATGAAGCCAAGTAATTTCAGAGCATGTAGTGGCCATAGAACGGTACTCGGCTTCAGCGGAGGAACGGGAAACAACAGATTGTTTCTTGGATTTCCAAGAAACCAAAGAATCCCCAAGGAACACACAATAGTTGGTGACACTTCTACGCGTGTCAGGACATGATGCCCAATCAGAGTCACAAAACGCATTGATTTGAAGCTTGGAAGAAGAAGAAAGTAATATGCCTTGGCCAGGAGCAGCTTTAATATATCGAAGTACCTTATGGGCTGTGACCAAGTGAGAGGTGGTTGGATGATCCAAAAACTGATCGAGGAGCTGAACAACATAGGATATATCAGACCTTGTAAGTGTGAAGTACAACAAACGGCCTATAAGTCGTCTGTAGGTGCTCGGGTCTGAGAGGGAAACTCCAGTAGTCTTGCTTAGTTTGAAATTCTGCTCAAGAGGAAGCTGAAGGGGCTTGCTGCCAAGTGTAACAGAGTTCGCCAAGATATCCAAAGCATACTTTCTTTGGCATAAGTGAATTCCTTTGGAGGATCTAGCAACTTCCAAGCCAAGAAAATAGCACAAACAACCTAGATCTTTGATCTTAAATTGGGTGTCGAGGAAACATTTAAGAGATGCAATAGAAGAAGTACAATTTTCAGCAACAATAATATCATCTACGTAAACTAAAAGAGCAGTGAAAGAAGTGCCATCTAATTTAGTAAATAAACTATAATCAGCTTTAGATTGATGAAAACCAAAAGCAATGAGTGAAGAGGAGAATTTAGAGTACCATTGCCGCGATGCATGTTTAAGGCCATATAGACTCTTGAGGAGTTTACAAACTTGGTTGGATCCCCCTTTGGTGTAACCGGGTGGTTTACGCATATAAATATCCTCATTCAAATCTCCATGGAGAAATGCGTTGTTGACATCAAATTGGAAAAGATACCAGTCATGAACTGCAGAATGGACAGTAAAACTCTCACCGTGACAAGCTTAGCTACCGGAGAAAATGTCTTGGTATAGTCTATGCCTTCTTGTTGTGTAAATCCCTTCGCTACGAGTCTTGCTTTTAAGCATTCTATATACCCATCAGCCGTAAATTTAGTCTTGTAGACATATTTGCAGTCAATGGCCTCTTTTCCAAAAGGTAAGTCAGTGATGATCCAAGTATGGTTTTGTTCTAAAGCAAATAACTCAGCTTCCATGGCCTGACACCAACCAGGGTGTTTCACAGCTTGTTTGTAAGTAAGGGGATCAGAAATGGTAGAAATGGACGTGGAAAAGGCAATGAAAGTAGAAGCAAATTCTGATAAGATAAAAAATTAGCAAGAGTACAGTAATTACCGGTTATGGAAGTGGACAACAACTGAGAAGGAGGTGAGAGTGAGGTCTGGCTGCAATGAAACTCTTGCAAATACTGTGGTGCTCTCCTTAGCCTGGTAGACCTGCGTAGAGGAGGGTTAGATGGACTATTGGGATGTAAATGGTAGGTGAAGGTATGGGAGAAGATGTGGAGGGAGAATGGGCAGGTAACGTTGAGATGGGAAGATCAGGTGATGGTGAATGGGTGGATGTATGGTGAGGTTGGGCAGGTGGAAAAGTGGGAGAGTAAAGGGGAAAGTCAAGTGTATCGGGTAAGGGTTGTGTAAAGACAAAGGTATGGTTAGGAGAGGTATTTGTATTTATGGTGTGAAATGGAAAAATGGTCTCATGGAATAGCACATCCCGAGAGATGAAAGTTGTTCGTGACTCAAGGTCAAAAAGCTTGTAGCCTTTAGTGCCAAAAGGGTACCCGAGAAAGATGCATGTGCGACCTCTAGGATCAAATTTCTTCCTACCTTGATGTAGGGTGGAAGCAAAGCAAAGGGTACCAAAAACTCGCAAGTGTAAGTAAGTAGGTGGGTGGTTAAATAAAAATTCAAAAGGAGTTTCATTGTTAAGTAAGGGGCTATGGGTTCTATTAATGATATATGTGGCCGTTAGAACACGGTCATTCCAAAATTCAAGAGGAATGTTGGCTTGGAATTTTAAGGCTCTAGCGACAATGAGTACGTGTTGATGCTTTCTTTCCACAACCCCATTTTGTTGGGGTATGGCAACACAACTAGTATGATGAATGATACCTTTTGTGTTGAAGAATTCTAGCATTTGAAATTCTTTGCCATTGTCACTCCTTAAAATTTTAATTTTGAGGTCAAATTGAGTTTCAATCATGTTGGCAAATGATTCGATATTTTTTCTGGTTTCTGCTTTGTTGCGAAGTAGATAGAGCCATGTGCTTCGAGTGAAATCATCAACGATGGTGAGAAAGTAAAGAGAACCATCATAGGCAGGGATTGAACTTGGCCCCCAGAGATCACAGTGCACTATTTCAAAGGGTTTAGTTGTTTTATGTGTGCTGTGTGGATATGAAAGCTGTTGACCCCAAAAAATGTTGCCAACAAATGCCGGGCCCACTCGTGCACACGCAAGCTTAATCTGACACGCTAATGCCGATAGACGGTCATGATGGCTCCAAATAATGGGCGTGAGAGTGGCTCAAAGGCACGAGACGTTTCCATTCAGGCCACCGGCATGAAG